CTCCGAGCGGAAAGGTGTGCTCTGTCTGGAGGTGATTTACAGAGGCTGTGGAGACATGACCACGGAGGATCTTCGCTGCTGTCTATTTACAATGTAGCTCGGATCATCTGACCCGTGACAGTTGCCAGTAAACGCCGCAGGGGGCGCTGTGGCTCCATGAACACGCCCCCCAGACATTTTAATCCAAGCCAGAGCTGATAGTTATCTATATCTATATATCTATATATATATATATATATAGATATATATATCTATATATATATATGATCATTCATTCAGGAAAACACAATAAAGACAGCTTTTATTTGTGTATTAAACATATTGTGAATGGGTGCTGTGGATTTTCTTTAGAACTGATATATAAACTGTTTATTATCAATCCCTTATACATCAGTTATATTTAATATATAATAAATATCTCACATTTACAACTACTCAATATTACACTGATCAACTGTGCATTGCTCACCATGATGAACAGTTTATGAATGATTATTGATTAACTTCTATAATGCATTTAGTTTTATGGTCATTCAGTTGTAATGTAATCATGATACAGCATCAAGATGGTGCAAACACATCAGAAATATACACACATATGTGTGTATATTTATGTATATATATATGTATGTTTGATGGTGGTGACAGAAATATATTTATAGGGTGGCACAGAGGTAGAAATATATGCTAATTTAATACAAAAATGACACATATATTTGTTTGAAAAAGCCCCAAGTGAAGATATTTTAACTCGAAAACATTAAATTATTGTGTCACATTAGTAAAGCACTGAATAGAAATAAAAGTGGCATTAGAAATCAACAGTTTTATTTCCAAATCTTGAATAAACTGGGGTAGATAACAGGATCTTTTAGAGGTGGCAGCTTCCCCCTGTAGACCTTCTCCTGGGAACATGGATTAATATCGAATGAGAAATATTGTTGTTAATAAGATATTGATTAGAGATGCACTTTTATGGGTTTGATAAAGGAAATAAAACATATATTAGCTCTGTTAGCTCTGTTAGCTGTGGCTTATGTACTCTTTTGTTTAACTCGATGTTTAATGGTAATGAAGTAAATGTCAAATACAAATAAAACACAAACACGATGGTTTAACAATAAACGTGTTAAAACTTGAAGTAGAAATTGTTCGATTTTCCCTTACACAACACCGGAAGCTAGCGACTGGTGTTACAGGGAATTGTGTCCCCCCCCGTGTCTGTCGCCGGTTAGTGTAGTCCGTCAACATGGTGAGTGCTGTGTGTGCCAGATTCCTCCTTCAGAGATCCACTCATGGGTTTCTCCTCTCGTCCAGGGCCGGACCCGCTCTGTCGAGGTGTGTTAGTTTTCAATGTAATGTGTGTGATTAATTTCAGATGAGGATTTAAACTCAGCGCGGTCGTTGAGGGAGCTGCAGTAGCTGTGACTCCCCTGTCCTCTGTGTGTGTGCACTTATAGTTATCTAACACCTGTACTGTCTCAGGAGATTGACTTTAAAGCCTTTTATTCAACAGAGGAAATGTTGATATTGAGCCTTTATTTTGATTAACGCCATTCCCAGAAATAAACAGACATTATTTACACAATTACAGTCCAGTGTTCAGTGTGGGTCTTATTATATCATCAGTACAGTAGAACTGCATGAGGACTCGAGCTGCGGATAATCATTTCATAATCGATTCATCACTCGATATTTATCTTACCTAATCATTAAGTCTAGAAAATCGTGAAGCCATTGGCTGTTGTCCAAGGCAACCATATATATATATTTATAATAAAATGTAACAAGAAGTATTTTTTAGTTATATCTGTTGTTTTTTCTTTATCTTTGGGGCTGTGATTGTTTATCATATTGTTGTGTGATCGATGATGACTCATTTCTTTTGTGAAGACATATATATGGTTTCCTTGCGATGTAGCCAATATTTCTGCAGATTACATGTAATGAGATGTTTACATGTAATGAGATGTTTACATGTAATGAGATGTTTACATGTAATGAGATGAGGGTTTTATGCCTGATGACATTGCTCAGTAAGTAAGTAAGTACAACTTTTTTATAAAGCACCTTTTTGACACAGAGATCCAAAGTGTTTTCCAAACAACAAATAAATAAAACATGACAGTGAACAGAGAAGTGAAGAGACACTGTGAGTGTACGCCTCCATTATAACTCCAGGATTCTCATTAGGAACCAGCCATAAGCTTGTTTACCCATCAGACAGCATCTCTGGCTTCATCTGGTGGAGTCAGGTCACCTCATGAGTCCTCTGCTGGTTTAAAAACCAGCCGGCCAGACAGCAGTTGAGTAGAAAAGTGCAGAGCTTCACATCTCAAACACAAAATATTGCTGAACTTGCTCACATTTTTTTTGTAATAGTCAGGAAGAAAAAGTGTGAGCACAAGCTAAAACCTGCTGCAGTTCCTTAGACAAGCAGAAATGTTTGTTTCTTGGCTTCCTGTGTTTTTTGCAGAAACAGCCCTGAAGCCTTTGGCTGTCCGCCCTGTCAGTAGGGTTGGCATTAGATATTTGGCTTTTAATCTGGGTCACATGGCAACAGCTCAGCAGCGAGGTCTGTTTCTTTGTGAAATGTTAAGAGATGGAGAAGATGGAGAGACTGCCCACAAGCACTCAGTGCAGTATTAATACTTACAATGAATGATAGAAAATCTGATATTGGTTCTAACTTTGTTCACCTGTCTTCTGTTTCAGCCCATTTCTGTCCCGTGCCCATCGACTGGGTCCCAGTGACGATGAAATGTACCAGCGTACCACGGTGTCCATCATGAAGAAGGAGCCGGGCGGGGGGGTTATGATCCAAAGCTACAGTTCTCAAGGATTCAACATCGATGGCAACAGAGTGTTGGGGCCCTGCGCTGTGCTTCCTCCTGCTATCCTCCAGTGGAACGTGAGATCAATGTCCATACTGCCTTCACAGCTCCTGTTTGTCGTGTAATGAGCTTCTTTCTATTAACTTTGTTCTATTGTTCTCTCGCTCTCTGCAGGTTGGCAGCCATAAAGACATCACAGAAGAAAGCGTCTCTCTTTTCCACATGCTTGAACCGAGGATAGGTAAAAAATAAAAGCACACTGACGTACAGATGGGTTATAAATTAAAATATAACCAACATAAAGTGTGATGATCAACATTCTTCCTTAATATATTCATTTATTTGGTGTTTGATGATGGTGGTGGAGAACACTGTTGTTCATTTATGTAAAATTGTGTTGAGATCTGGTGATCGTGAAGGCCAAAAACACATTATTCACATAACTTTCACTCATTAAACCTTTCAGTGACCACCTGTGTCCTATATGGAAACATCTGTACACAATTATTCAAGTTTTTCCTTGTATTTTGTCACTCCTCTGGGTTTATATGGTGTATTTAACTAAAAACAAAACATGATTCTTGTCTTTTTTTTTTTGTCTTTTATGCAGAAATTATTGTGCTGGGTACAGGCGCACGGGTGGAACGAATTAACCCCTCAGTCCTGGCTCTGCTGAAGAGAAAAGGCATCGCTGTGGAGGTTCAAGACACGGTAAAGTATCTCCACTGACAGCATGAACGACTTTCTGACTGTCTGACAACAACACATTCGAACTCATTGACTAATCCACGTCTCTGCTTTTCTTTTTCATCTCCGCTGTGTTGCAGCCGAATGCATGTGCAACCTTCAACTTCCTGACTAGTGAGGGAAGAATGGCCGCCGCTGGTCTGATCCCTTCGCCCGTCAGCACGGAACTGGACTTGATAAAGGAATAAGTGTTGTACAGAACAGAAACTGGGACTGATCTCTGCAGATGGAGGTTAAATGTTTATGAATGAACTCTTACGCTTACTTACGCACAATGCCTCCAAAGGAACAAACTCAGAAACCATCCCTGTATTTGGTTACACGGTTATGTTTTGGAGATTTCACCCAGTGATCTGAGCGGAGAGCTGATGTACTGGTAATGTTGCGTTCTCTGTCACCATTACAGGCAGCACATACACTGTGTACAAGCGCTCAGGTCAATGTGGTGAAGTGAGGGCATCCATGTTGGAGAATAAGACTGAAGTGTAACTCTTGTATAGAAATACTGTGTTGTGTGTATGAAATATGTATTTAAAATCTTTACAAGCAACCAACAATAACTCAAGTGTCGTGAATTACATTGGACATTAAATATTTATTATTTTAAAGAACCAGTGTTTAGGATTTAGTGGCCTCTAGCGGTGAAGTTGCAGATTGCAACTATCTGAACACTGCTGAGTGACTTGGGAATGAGAACAGGCTGTAAAGTGTGTAGAAGAAACTACAGCAGCTAAAAAGTCCCTATCTACAGCCAGTGTTTGGTTTGTCCCTTCTGGGCTACCGTAGAAACATGGTGGTTCAACATGGCAGCTTCCAATGAAGGCGACAGCACATTCTAAGGTAATGAAACATAACAATGCTTATAATCTGGTGATTATACACTAATGAAAACATACCTATTAATATATTATATTTCTACATTTAACCTCCTAAATATTAAAAACTAAACCTTCAAAAGACGTCTGTGCAGAAGATAAAAGACACCTGTATGTAAAAATATAAGAATATGTCCCAGCCCTACACCCGATGTGTTGGTAGTGGCTGTCCCTCATTTGGTTAAGCCTCTTAACTGGGTGTGCCTGTCCGTCCTGCACATGACATAATTCAGTGGCTTTGTCCTTCTCACACATAAGCTCCATAGATTGAGAATCCATAAATCCTCTGCACATCACAGTGATTCATCTCTAATCACCTGCCTCTGTGCCACAAGTCCAGCGTTAGTCTGAATGTTTAAATCAACACATTGTGGCACAGATTGGTGCGTAGAGGAGGACATTTAGGTCACCTTTGTTCTTCAGTAGATATGATACATTCAGTTAATCACATTCACAAGATAAACTAATAATTAAGCCATAATTTCCATCAGCTTCAGTGAATGTGTCTTTAAAAAGTGGACAAAACAATAAAACCTAAGCTCTGTTTAACAAAAACAGTTGTATTAGTGGTTACAGAGTATTACTTTTCTTATACCAAAACATTGCAAATGCAGAACAAAGGAACTTAAAGGGGTCGACGCAAGAAGATGTTTTCCCGAACTGTTTGTAATACAGAATTTCAAAAAAGGGAGAAATTATAGCGCACAAATTAGAGGAAATAGAAGACACACAACATTTACATAGTACACCCACTCTCTAGACGCTACGTATCACTCTCTGGTTTACAGCTGTGCAGTAAAATCATCCATGATGTCATTATGACCTCCCAGCTGTTGGGTTATTTGGCCCTGATGATGAAGTCCGCCTCAGTCATCATCAGAGTTGTGAGACTGGTGTCTATGTGATCCTCCGAAGCGCAACTCTGCTCCTGTGATCCGGTGATACATATCTTTGATGTCCTCACACTCAGTCTCAAAGTGGTTTGTTGAGTCATACGAGCGGGACACAAAGATCTAGTGAGGACAGAGAGGATGAAATATACCCATACACTTTACCCCATTTTATTTTTGTGTACTGGTCATTTTGTGGAGGGATCTCCTCGTTACCTGGCTCCTTTTTCCGTCTTCATTGGGAACCACCAGGTTGTGGACTGAGACAAATCTAGATTCAAGTTTGTGACAGGAAACAACATCAATTAAATCTTGTTTCAAATTATAAAACCAGTAAAATGTAAAAAGTCTCACTGACTTTTACTAAAGCTAAACTTTCCAAAATGTTCTTGACCGCTGACTCTAGCTGTCCTAGATGATCCAGCAGGTCATATGTTCTGGTCATTTAATTCATTAAATCATTTCTGGACCTCTATATTTCAAGCACATTGATATATCTGTGACAAAACAATAAATCCCAACCAATACATGGTGATATTTGGTGGTCCATCGACAGAATATACTATCACTTTATATCCTAAGTTGCTCTCATATTTGTTTTTTTGTTTGTTTTGTTTTGTTTCTGTTTCTGTTTAGTTATTTTTGTTCTGTCTTTTAAAAAAAAGTCTTACTGACTTTTGCATGATGGGCTCCAGAAGCTCCAGCCCGGGTTGAACTTCTTTCTCCGGGTTGCTGGTTTCTACAGTCGTGCTCACTGTGGCGATGTACACCCCGTCTGAGGCCACATTGTGGGCATAGGACACTACAGATATATAAATGTCTGCATGCACAGAAGAGAAGAGGTTTAATAGGAATTATAAATCAGTGTGAAACAACCAAAATGATTTATTCACAAGGAATCTGTGGACGTGTGTCAATGTGGTAATAATGCAGTGATCTAATTTAAACACTACAAATAAAACGTATTATTTATTTGATCAACAGTCAAAATACCTGATTTCCTGTTGAGTTGTGCTTGAGGGAGGATGATTTGACAGGAGTTGGCATCATGGGTGTTTTTAACTGGATGATTTAATAAACAGATGACTCTTATCACACGCCCCACCTTTCTCACGCGATTGGGAACGTAGCTGGGGTCGCAGATGAGTTGTTTACAGTGGAACAGCTGTTTAAAAAAATCAAAATCACTGAGCTCACAACTGAGCTGCTGGACATTTTTCCCCCAAACATCCCAACTTTTTTCTTTTTCAACCCTTCCTCTGCTTAAATACACTTACCTTCCCGTCAGATTTCACGGCCTTCACTTTGCCGTTGTCCATCACAATCTCATCCACTGCTCTGTTCAACAGGAAGGTTCCTCCGTACTCTGCACTCAGCCTGAAACACACAGAAGCTGCACTCAATGTAACAAGAAAACTGGACCTTGTCCTGAGAAATCTGAGGAGTTGTTTTGTAACCTGGCAAATCCTTGTGGTAGTTCTCCGAGCCCATAAACAGGGTAGATATATGGACTGGGGTTGTGGCGGGACAGAGACTCAGAGTACAGCTTGATCCGTCTGATTGTTTCCAAACACGGCTGGTCCAGGTAACTACAGGATCACCAAGAGACAGTAAATGACACCGGACAGGTTTTAGACTTGATCAGGATCATCTGTCATTGTTTGTTATCTTGTTAATATAAGTTCCTGTGACTGACTTCTCACTGCTGTGTAAGGCTATGGCGTGACCTGTGAACTCCATGACATCTAGTCCCAGGTCAAAGCGGCAGAACAGATCCCGTGTGGTGGTTTTATTCGGATCCATGTCCTGATAGGTCCGAGGGTTTCTCACGTCAAAGTTCAGGGCAAACAGCAGCAGCTTCTTGAACCTTCTCTTGTCAAACATGCCCATCAGATCTGAAACATGAATGTTTTGTTGAATGTTATTAAATGGAGTTACAAATATGGAGATATTTTGCACAGTTTCAGCAACTTAATTCATCACCTGAAGCCTGGGCTTCTTCCTCTGTGCCGGGGACTTTGTGCACTTTGCCCGCTTTGTATACGTAACTGCCTTCAACGACTTTGAAGTCCAGATACCGGGTAACCTCAGTGTGCACCAAGATCTTTACCAGCTCGCCTAATGCAAACAGAGAGTGCAGACAATGACTCAATGCACATGAAAGTAAAGCCGAGAAAATGCATTGCACAGACCAGAAGTCCAGATGAATAGCACACGTTTTCTTACCGTTGGCCATAAAGAATTTGGGAATAAGGTCAATGTTCCACTCTTTTCCCCGACCCATGGTCTTAGCAGGACCTGGAACCTTAAACTTTTTGTACAGCTGTAAATGTAGAAAGATATTAAACAGTAGCAGCTTTGCAAAATGGAGGACATGTACGTGTGTGCTCGTGTGTTGTTTGTGACTGTGTGACCGCACCTGCTCAAGGGGAGAAATGGATGCACTCTCTCCTCCATAGTAGGGATTCTTGTCAATGTGAAGAACCTTTTTCCCACTTTGAGACATTAAACCAGACAGGATACATTCCTGCGACAGACGGGAGGTTGACAGTAAAGTGCACTGTCAGGACAAGGATCAAAACTTACATAATGATGTCATCTAATTGTTGTAAATCCCTTAATCAGCCAAGAGGAGCTCGGAAGGTCTTAATGTGAATGGTCCGTAAAAGAGTGACCATACGTACCAACGTACACCGCTTACACTATAAACTATTAAAGGGTAAAATAGTTCAGGGAACAACTAAAAGAACAAAGAATTCAGTGTATTTTTATGTTCTTAGTGTATTTAATGTAGGTAATGACTATTATTAGGTGGGATTATCATGTCTTGGTGCATGCTTAACTATAGTCATAGCAGTAATTACATTTTGGTTCAATAAAAATCCCTGAAAATATAAATTCCAGTGCTCTTACAGTGAGAGTGGACCTTCCACATACTGGGAGCTGACTGAGGCTTGTAATTCCCCTCAGGTGCCTCATTGACAGTAAACTTCATATTTTACAACAAATACAAGCGTTCTTACCTTGAGTCCAGTTCCGAGGACAATGATATCATATTCCTGCATCCTAACAGTATCTCCACTTGTTGGTCACTGAGGCCCAGTGTGTAAGCTGTCGCAGTATTGTGAATGTGTTGAGTGTGTGTGGGCATATGTGCATATTTGTATACAGAGAGAGAGACACAGAGGTATGATGATGATAAGTGACAGTAATTGCTTTGTGTTCCCCTTTGCCATAATCCTCTTAGGATGGACACATCTATGTGTGTGTGCATGAGAGAGAGAGAGAGAGAGAGAGAGAGAGAGAGAGAGAGAGAGAGAGAGGCAGTGCAGTGCAGATTGAGGTATTAAATGAAAATGGTGAAACAAGTATTCAGATCCGTCACTTTCTGCTACGTATTCATCAGTAAAATGTACTAAAAGTGTCAAACATAAAAGTAAAGTTAAAAAGTTCTGCAGTAAAAGTACTTTGGTCCAGTTTGTGATTATGAAAGAATCAAAAGATAAAGCTCTGCTACATAAATATCTATTTCATTTGTTTGCAATTTAATCTTTGCTTCTCTGTGAAATATAATTTTACCTCTTCAGGCCTTGAGCAGTATATTTACATATAACATAGACACCTGAAACATGACAGGATTATATTTATAATATGTATTGGTAAAATAAAGCTTGGAGTTGGGAAAAGTCCCATTTTCTGCTTCCCTGATGAAAACATCTGGAATCTAGATCCCCACTGTAGGATATTTCTGTCACTCTGAGGATCTCAGAGCTACCAGGATCCTTTGTTGTACATTTTGATGATAAAATGATGCAGATAAAAACTAAAAATAATATGTAATTGGTTCTGACGCTGACCTACTACAAAAAACTCAGTTACCCATAATGCCTTGAGAAGAAGATGTCCGGGTCGGGGAAGGCCTCTTTGAGGTTGCGCTTGTTAAACTGACCGGGCCACTCAGGCGGCGTCAGTGTAACATAGTTGTAATATCTAGCACTGACTCCGCCCACCCAGTCGAATTCCGTTCGACGCCGGATATAAAACGAAAGCGCACCGTAACCGTTGATGAACACTTCCGGTCGCTGTCACCTTCTCGTTCCCCAACTTTACTGCTCGACTGTGGAGTTAAAGAAGTCAGAGAAATGTCTTCATCACAGACAGTAAGTGCACTAAAAGGGATAAAGTATAACTGTTCCCGGGCTTCGGTAAGGAATTAACGTTAGCACCTTGGTTACCGGCAGTTTGTTCCATCTGTCGCTACGGTAACGTTAAGTTAGCTAAAACTTGAACTTACGCACGCTGGCGTTAATGTTGATTCTTTATGGTGAGTTAACATTTGCTTGTATTTCAGATTGTTTAATCACTTTACTGATGTAAATATGATGCAACATATTGTTAAAAGAAAAAAAAAAGAAAAAGGTTTGCACAGAACAAAAGAGGCGGGTCAGTTCTCGCCTAACTAGCTCTGAGACACAGATGATGATGACTAATGGCTGAGGAACCTACTTTCACTCACTTATTGTTCACAGCAGATCTGCAGGTCTGTCTGGGAGAAATGTTCAATGTAACTTAGAGAAAATGGTGTTTTTGTGAAAATGTCCAGCAGGAAGTGAGCATATAAAATGAATGAATGAATGAATGAATGAATGAATGAGTGTGTGTGTGTGTGTGTGTGTGTGTGTGTGTGTGTGTGTGTGTGTGTGTGTGTGTGTGTGTGTGTGTGTGTGTGCAGCCATCAACCATCCACACTGATTTGTAAGTTTTTCATTGTTTTAGGTGAGAAAAGTAATACTCAGTTTGATGTAAATAAACTGCATCAGAGAGACCTCTAAACCATTATTCAAAATTACTATCCAATGTCTTTTAGTGAATTATAAATCTAATGAAATAGTTTTGTAAAGTTATCATAATGTACTTTGCTGTTGTGTCACGTGTTCCTTTAGTGGAGGATATAAATCCAATATTAAAAAAAGGGTAATGAAGTGTTCCACTCAAAGTCAGTAATGTCGTCTGTCTTCTGGGTGTTGAGCTGGTGTTATTGTTCGCATTCAGCCTCAGTTGTTTTTGCATTGTTGTCTCAGTTTTCAGGTAAAGACCCAAACCAACACAAGCGTGTATCCGTTCAGTCCAACCCTGGATTCCTGGAGCGGTTAGGTGAAACTGCAGGAGGAACTGTTGTTGGCGTCGGACTGTTTTTCCTCTCGATTTATGTGCTCTTCACCAATGAGGTAAGAAACACTCACACAGAGGACGGTTGTATACATGAATAATGCACACTAACACAGCGCATGCTCTCAGGGACGGGCTCTGCAAACGGCGTCGTCCCTGGATGAGGGTCTTTCTCAGGTTGTGTCATTGGGGCCTTTCTCAAGCTTCGACCTGCAGAACGACAACCGTCTAGTTCATCTGTCTGCACAGCTGCGCACCTCACAGGTTTGTTTTTTACCGTGTTAATTTCATTCTATTGCTGATTTGACAGCTTCATTAAGTGACATGCTACCAGTAAATGTTAGGTAATTTATCATCTGCCACTGTGTCTGTGTAGCCCCTGCATGACCCCAACTACAGGGTGGTGGTGCAGGCAGTGAAGCTGAAGAGGCAGGTGGAGATGTATCAGTGGGTGGAGTACCATGAGAGCAAGTGAGTCTGTTGTCTGCATATGTCAACATTCAGGGTGGGGTCAGCTGTAAAAATGTTGGCTGGAATACGGAGTATTATTAGCCTGAAGTGAGTTACTGTGCGACTACTTTCAGGGACTACCAAGAGAACGGGGAGACCAAAACTGAGACGACGTACACCTACAGTGAGTTATTTTCAGAATTCGGTCACACTATGTTTGACTCTGGTTGAAGCTGTATGAATTGTTTTGATGTGATTCCTTTTCCTCTTTTTTTTTTTAGACACCGAGTGGAAATCAGAGTTGATCAACAGTCGTAATTTTGATAAAGAAATCGGTCACCAGAACCCAAGGTACTCAAATGTTTACAAGATTATTCAGTTCTGTTCTGTGACATTAGAAATAACATGTTTGTGTTAATCTTTGAATCTAAGCGCCATGGCGGTGGAGAGTGTCACTGTGGTGGCTCCGGAGGTCAGAGTTGGACCTTTCTTTCTGTCTAAAGGTAGCCGACATAAACACGGTGCATACAGAAATGAAACACATGCTGTATTGTTGGTCACACTGTTTGGTTTGGTCTTCCTCAGGCCTAGTGGAGCAGATAAATAACTTCCAGACACTGAGTTTGAGGGATTTTACTGCCTTTAACTTGGATCCATTTCTCAGTATTGATGACGATTATTTCTATCACACTCAGTACCCACGCAAGCCGGAGGTGAGCATGATGATGTGAACTTCTCTCAGATATATAAACTTTTGGTCTCTGATGGGTTATGTACTCCACATTGGTGCAGTAATTGAGTCTTATTCGTATTTTATTTTTCTTAAGGTCGGAGATGTGCGTGTGAGATTCTCCTTCGCTGGACTGAGCGGTGAGACGTCTCACCTCGGCCGGGCTCAGACTGTGAGTGCTGCAGATGACCAATTAAAACATGAATTTTACTAATGAGGATCATTGACTTAAAGCATTCTCTGGATGCTTTTCCACTGTGGCCTTAATGCCAATATCTTTTTTTTTTATTAATCACACTCAGTAATGAAATATTTTATTTCTTGATATATCAAAGTCAGAACTGAAATGAACTGAATAGTTTTAAATAAAATGATTAGTCTGGTGGACTGGTTGATCAACAGAAAATTAAACAACATCAATTTCAGTTTCACAATCAGTTAAGTCATTTATTAAACATTCACTGGTTCCGACTTATCAAACTAGATATAAATATTAGTATAAAATGGTACGCATGTTGATCTCTTGTATACTACTTAGATTAATTAAATTACTAAGATTAATATCTATAGTATAAACGATGTACAATTAGTTTGTAGTGTTGGGTAAGATGTAATAAAATTAAGAAATTTCACAGTTTCTCGTCTTTTAACCTAATGAGAAATCAAATTGCTTGTTTTGTACAACCGACTGTCCAAAAGATGTTCAGTTCACCATCACGTAAGATAATAAGACTGACGCAACCTACATTTGAGAAGCTGAGACCAGTGAATATTTTGAAAAATAACCAATTAATTTTCTGATCAGTCGACTAATTGTTTCAGCACTAATTGAAACTATTACTTTCCTACAGTGCACATATAGTTAAAACTTATGGTCTTCCTCTTATGAAGCGCTAACTGTTTCTCAGGTCAGTATTGTGGCCATGCAGAGAGGGGAGCAGCTGATGCCTTTTAAAACCAAGTCAGGAGACACTCTGGAGCTCCTGTATCTGGAGGAGCTCTCTGCAGAGGTCAGTGTGCATTTTAATTCCTTTGTTGGACACTTAGTTTTTTTGTGTTGATTTTAATTTGCTTTGTTTTTTTGGGGGGGGGGGGTAATGTAATGTCCATACCAATAAGTTCTGGTTGTTGATGCAGTTGTATTGTTTCCTGTAGGAGGTTTTTGCGAAAGAACACGAGTACAACAATATGAAGACATGGGGCCTCAGGGCTGCAGGCTGGGCCCTCATGTTCCTTAGTATTCAGCTGACCATGCGTATCATCTACACATTGGGTAAACAAACACTCACAGCTGTTGTACATCCACATCATACATGAATTTCTGTCCCTGCATCTCATTTATATTCCTCTCTGTCGTGTGCCTACAGTGGATTGGGTTCCTGTTCTGAGGGAACTTGTGTCCGTGGGGCTGAAGATCTTCGCCTTGTGCGTCTCCTGCTCTCTGTCTCTCCTCACCATCGGAGTTGGTTGGTTTTTTTACCGACCGTTGGTGGCCGCAGCTCTGGGAGCACTAGCTCTGCTTCCACTGTTTCTCGCCCGCTCAGGACTTGCAGCCAAGAAGAACGAGTGACTAGTGAACTGATGATTATCACAACAATTTCCTGGCTGTAACCGTCCATCGGAGGTGTGAGACAGTGTTGTTTGCAGCTGGTTTATTCACAGCAGGGTTACAGACCGCGGAGGACTCGCTTTCTTGGGCAAAACAGACATTGTGTGGTCATACACGTGTTATAATTGGTATAATAATAATAATAATAATAATAATAAGTTAATCCAAAATAGTCTAAATGTTTCAGTGGACTTGAACATATATATTTTTTTAAAATTAATAATTCATAGTGGGCATCACTCGATTACCCTCAAAATATATTTATGGACAAAAAGAAATCACCCATCAACCCCTGCTGGTGTTGTCCTATCAGACACGTGTGGAAGCTGTTGTTGCCTTTAGACCTCAAATGTTATGAGATGTTCATCCAACTGTAAATGTGTTCTCACTTGATATTTTGTTGTATGACGTATGGAGAACGTCATTTCCATCTTTATTATTTTGTTGCAACATGAGATTGCTAGTTTCATTTTTACTGTAAATATATCTTGCCAAAGACTTTCTCCCTCCTCAAAGGTTGAACTCTGTTTCCAGTTTATTAGTCACTCCCAACTGCAGTCTAATACAAGAGTTCTTTAACAAACCCTCCCTTCATGAAGGTTGTAATGTACTGTTTTTAATGTTTAGAGAGGTGTTGTGTCCACTTTAGGAGGCTGATTGCTGCTGAAGTGTATTAATGTTATTAATATGAACATTATAACCTTCATAAGGGTGAGATTTATTGTAAGGCTGTTTATTAGACTGCATTAGTTTTAGCTAGGTCTATGTTCCTAATGTAAAACATAATATATATATCTTCATATATCATTTGTTTCCTCCTTATTGGCATGTCATCAGGGATTTGTTTATAAGATAAAAACATTTTTGTTTTTCTTTCATTTTAAAAATGAAAAATGTCAGTTGCTTTTTCAAAGAACCACGTCTGGGCAGAAAGACCAATCTTGGTAAAATACTTAAGAACTGTGGATCTGCAGTGTTATTGAACTGTTTGTATGCAATGTGTGATAAATAAAGCACTTTTTGTTTTTTCAGACCTTAATGAAATCTGATTCATGTTTCCAATTGGGGTGCAAGTCAAGATGACCAGGAGTCCAGAGTCCGAAAAGCTGAACCCTAACCCTTACCCACAGAGATATCAGTGGCGTACGTACCAGCCAATGAATAACTAAGAGTTGAGGTCCAGAAATATCAAAACAATCTGTTGATGTAATAAGTGTCACTATTAAAGTTTGTCCACCAGAGAGCAACTGACAAGTTTGTTTTCCAGCTATTAGTTTTTCAGCTCAATATTTATTTGTCTTCATTATTTAAATTAACCAATTTAAGAGGGTTAAAGGTAACTTTCAAACAGCGACATCAGCCCGGCTGCATTGACTAGATAATAACCAGAGCGGCTTGTATTGATCCGTAATGCCCACCATATCTGTGCACTGTGGCTAACCCAGGACACGTGTAGTGACTCAGACCAACGTCAAAAGCTGAAAAAGTTTCATCCTTGGAAATGTTTTTGCCCGAACACTGCTCCAAATCTTTATTCTGCATCCAAGTGGGACTTCTGACCCATTCAGTGTCTTTCAGTTTATCAAGCAAGTGATACAAATGATCAAGATTCTTACAAAGTAATTTATTACACAAAACACTAAGTTTCCATTTGCGTTTTAACAAAATGAGTTTCCAGTCTCATATTGTGCATATGATCATAATGCACGTAGGATTTGTATATGAAGCACACAAACAAATTTCGACTTCATGTGTGCATCTGTTTGTTGAAATAATTAAAGGACTATGGGTCACAGTGTACAGGTACTTCACCCTAGTTGGCTGTGGAAACATTCCTCAGATCAGCAGGCAGGGCTTAAGCACTTAACTGTAGTTGGCAGGTATGACTCAACAGGTCCCCCTGGCTGACCTCTTTGATTACATAGTACATGTCGATAAAGGAGGTTTCATTATGGCAAATTTACTCATGTTAAAGTACAAAAAAGTAGTTTCCATAACCTCAAAATTGAATACTGACAGAACCTGACTACTTTCGCTTAAGACAAAAAAAGTAAAAGCATTACACCTTTAGTAAAAACTGGGGAGAACAGTCTTTTGTGTGGGTGTGTTTGGGGGTAGGTTTGACCTAATGCTCCTTCTTCTTTCCCCCCCTGTAGGAAGCAGTCCTCATGCCCCTGCTTACAGTAGGACACATTTATTGCTCTTCTTTCCCCGCCTGGCCTGTAGTGCAGCCCTGGTGGCCATCTCGAACACTTCCCTCACACCATCCTTTGTTTTTGCTGAGCACTCCATGTATCCAAAGGCACCGATCCTGTTTGCCATGTCCCGTCCATCTTCTGGTTTCACAGGTTCCTAAAGAAAACATTGAGATGAGGAGTTTTTAGGGAACAGGCGTTCACCCCCGGGAGAGCGTTTGCGTGTTTGTTTTGACATTTTTACCTGTTTCATTTTGGCAAGCTCCCTCCGGGTGTGCTCATCGTTACGCAGGTCCTTCTTATTTCCCACCAGGATAATGGGAACGTTGGGGCAGAAGTGTTTGACCTCGGGAGTCCACTTCTCTGGGATGTTCTCTAGATAAGTGGACAGAAGGACACCATCGGTCAGAGCAGAGACACAGCAGCAAGGTACGTGTAGGTGAGAGGAATCAAACAATACGGAAAATGATGGATTCAGAAGAAAGTTGTCGTTGTTGCACAGGTTCCTCACAAATGTCACAATATGATCAATGCTTTGATAGGTGCGTGTGCAGTTGTGACGTACATTACAGACATATGATGTGATACAATCAGCAGAGGAGTAGTGTGCTAATATGCTTTCCCCTGTCCAACAAATGTGCCTGTTTAACTATTTTGATTGTGGCTGACTCTTAACAGGACCTTAATATAGAGCTATTAATCTCTATCTGGTCTGGTCTACTTCCCTCCTAATTATTACCAGTTAGTTGGAACTACATATGTATTGTTTCCACTATTTCCAACCCTCCTCCTCCAAATATTGGTGAAAGTCAAAGGTACTGTCTAACAGCAACAGCTGATAAGAAGAGAGCAGGTTGTGGGCCCACTTTCTTGTAGTACTTGAAGGTTGTGGCCCCAAGGCAATTTGAGTTGGAGACCCCCCGATCTTGGCTCAACATACACTGTCAGCTCTCCGTTTGAACTTACCAAGACTGTCGGGGCTGTCGATGGAGAAGCACATGAGAATGACATCAGTGTCTGGATAGGAGAGCGGGCGCAGTCTGTCATAGTCTTCCTGACCTGCTGTATCCCAGAGTGCTAACTCGACCTGCCATAAGAGTTAACACGTTATCAATCACATGAACCAAACCATGTTCGGGGTGCTTCAGGTCTACAAGTTTAACATTTTAATGACCCAATGAGTTCATGAAAACAAATAAAAAATACTCCTTTATTACACCAATACTGATTTGGTGCACATAAAAAACACATTTACATTTGCTATGACTCTGATTAACCATTGTTATATGAAACAATTACTTCAGCAAGTATCCCATGTTATTTCGATGCTGCTCTTAGACAGTAAACAGTCAATGCAACCTTTTTTAAAATAAAGACGGAGATATTGATGATCAGGATATAAAGAATTTATATTTTGATCAAAAAAATGTATGGTGTTGTTGATCTTGTTCTCTCATTCCCTACTCCCAATATAATAGACGAGTGGTTCCCAACCTGGGGTTTGGGACCCCACCTGGGGTCACAAGGCCTTCTTGATTTAAGCTGTGCTAGAAAACTTAAAAAAATATACACAGTAGGCTTATATGTCAGCATTTGGTTCACTTCTGTGGAGAGTAAAGATAGTTTAAAAGTAAATGTAAAGTAAACTGTAAATTGTCTAATCGAACAATGGCCAAATATCAGGGACGACAAAAAAGACTGAATTTGTCAAAAAAAAAGGCCTATTAAGTCTGTATGATTGTTAAAGTTTAAAAAATACACAATACAGATAGGGAGTTGTATATAAAGTTCCCTAAAGATGAAATAGTCTGCTTAAAATTCATCCAAATCACTTGTTTTACACAAACCAGTTTTGCAGTTACTGAGTTCACTGTCTGGGTTCATTGAACAGGTTTGAATATGGTATTAAATATCCATACAATATGTCACTTAGTCAGGGGTTGTCACTTTACTAAATGACAGACAAGGTGTCCCTTAAGGAAAAAGGTTGGGAACCCCTGTAATAGACAGTCAGTAGTTTCCTTTATAATTAGAAATAAATTGAGATTTTGTACACTTATGAATCATTCACATAATCAGTGATGGGTATTGTGTAACTGTAATTTTGCATCTATAAAGTCAGTATTGTATGTTGCACTGTGGAACTGTTCATATAAAGTCATGTATGTACCCTGCACAATACTTTTTTTGTTCCATTGTGTGGTAAAAGGTTACCACATAGTGCCTTTAAAGTTTGACACTCAAGACACAAATATGGACACTAAATGAAATACAATACAAACTAAATAGAAATGATTTCAGGCGCAGCCAGAGAGAGCTGAGCAGATTCATTTGCGTGACTCAAAGTTATTTGTATTTTAACAACAATGAACCTACCTTGAGTAAGAGCTGTCATTAAGACTAATATATCCTTTGTTAAATACTCAAGAAGCATTTCATCAACCCACAACAACAAGATAAGTAAACTTCATTCATATAAATCAACACATCAATGCGACCATCACTGGTGAGAGGGAGTGGTAGGAGATAACCACCAGCATTCAGCTGTTGTTGTAATCAGATGCCAAGTTACATAATCCTGATTTTGGTCTGAAATGGGAGAGAAGAGCTGAAAATGATTCGTACCTGTTTGCTATCAACTTCAATGTCAGCGACGTAGTTCTCAAACACCGTGGGCACATAGACCTCTGGAAACTGGTCCTTACTGAACACAATGAGCAGACAGGTCTTCCCGCAGGCTCCATCTCCCACTATGACCAGCTTTTTCCTGATTGCTGCCATAGCTGCAGACAAGAGACAAGATAACAGACAACAAAAACATCACAAAAGGTTACGACATGAGGAGACTTTATTTATAATAAAACACGCAGGGGGCGTTTAATTGCCTCCAGGCATTGTGCAACTACAACCAGGACCCCTGTGAGAAAACGACGAGCAGCCAGTAACCTTCAGCTGTGTTGACACAACGCCAAGTCTGCAACCAACACCCGAGGCTATCTGTTCAGCTTTCAGTAGCGACACCGACACTGTGTACAGTCAGTCCACTGTACAGTACGTTTTACATAACAACGGCCTTTAACAGAAATAATAAAAGTTTGAGAGCAAACGCCTGTGATGTTGACTTTGTCTGCCACGATGATACATTTCCGCTCCAGTGTTTCTGAGCCTTCACAAATTATTCACATCACCATTAAAGCTCAATGTACCCTCAACCCTAACGTGTTGACAGCCGGGGACACTAACATATAGTTATATCTCGCTGCAGTGTGGGTTGACCATCAGTTTAGTTATGTTTACTAAAGACTTGCCGCTAGCGACTGGAGCTAACCAAGCTAGTGTTAGCCGGATAGGAGTTAAAATCTTTATGGTTTTATTTAAATGTGTTGCCGGATACATTATGATATAATGTATGTATATAATGGTACCGTGGTGTCTGCGATTTCTTTGTCACTACTCAGACAATCCTCACTTTTTCCTTTCAGTCTCAAACCGGTATGGCTGGTTAGCTAGCTGGCTAGCTTGGCTTAGCTTAGCACAACGGAAGTCAACGAGACTCCATCGGTCCGTTAGCTAGCTGGTTAGCGTAAGCATAATATCGGAAGAAAATATAGGTTTACAGAGTATATATAGCGATATTATTGCCAATAAAACACACCGACAACGTCCTGCAACCCACGCTGCTTGTACACATCACACTCTTACCAAATGATCGGTTTAAAATCTATCCAATTGATTTCCAAGTAGTGCTTTGTTGGCCTCCGTCGCTGCTGCTGCTGGAGGATTAACAGGAGGGAAGTGAGGGGGTGGGGAGAGATAACAATACACTGCTATACAAACA